GTTAGCTGCAGTTAGTCATCCACAAGGGAATGGATAGGCTGAAATAACTAATCGGACCATTTTCAGTTATTTAAAGAAGAAATTGGAGAAACTCAAAATGAAATGGTACGAGAATCTCCCTCAGGTGCTTTGGGCGTACCGAACCACACCACGGCGGCCCACGGGGGAGAGTTCCTTTGCCATGGCTTATGGATCCGAAGCAGTGATTCCAACCGAAGCGGCAATTCCAACCCTTCGGACATCCTTGTTGCTTGAAGGAAACAATAGTCAGCAGCTCGAACATAGTCTCGACCTCCTCGATGAAAAAAGGGATACTGCAGCAATTAGGCTTGCTTCATATCAGCAGCAGCTGCGCAACAATTATAACAAACATGTCAGATTCCGGAGCTTTGCGGTAGGCGATTGGGTTCTGAAGCAAGAGACAGCTCATGTAAAGAAACTGGAACCTAATTGGACCGGACCCTACAGGATTACCGAAGTAGTGGGGAAGGGAGCATATCATTTGGCCGAAGCTGACGGACGTCCCATTGTGCGTCCTTGGAATGCAATACACCTTAAACGGTATTTCCATTAGTTAAGTTTGTCAATTTTATTAAGAATTCTTCACAAATAAGGCTGCGTAAGCCCACAGTCAGCCATGCTTTACTTTATTTTGCTTCTATTTGTTTCTTTCCATAAAAATGGGGGCCATACCATCATTCTATGATTATGCAATTTTGCGTTGCAGTATGCATTAGCAATTTTTATGCAAAGAAAGCAATTTTTATGCAATCGCAGTATGCATTAGCAATTTTTATGCAAAGAAAGCAATTTTTATGCAGTTTTTATACAAAGAAAAAAATTTTGAAAATTTTTATGTAAAGAAAACAATTTGAAATTTTCAAATTTTATGCAAAGAAATTTTCATACTACACTATGATTATGCAATTTTATGTTTTTATACAAAGCAATGTTGAAAGCAAGTTATTAAAAAGCATGCGTTTTGACCTATGGTTAAAACTCTTTGTCCCACATCGGATAAAAATAGAAAGGAAATGTGGTTAATATATGCGTAGTCCATGACGTATGATTGCCAAGAAGGGAGTATCAATGGAGGAAAGTCTCCAAAGTAAATAAATAGGAAACTTCGCAGCCATTGTTACTCGCTTTCTTGGCCTCCTATCATTTTTGAGTCCTCGGCAAGTTGTTTTTTTTTTTTTTTTTTTTTTTTTAAAAAAAAAAAAAAAAAAAACGATGAAGAGAAGAATATATATATGAAAACCTCTTTCAGGCTCAGCGCCGAGGAGTAATTCATTCGCCTCGGACCCTAATTTTTTGGCTCGGCAAAATCTCGCCTCGGACCCTAAGTGTCCGGTTCGGAAAAATCTCGCCTCGGACCCTAAGTGTCCGGCTCGGCAAAATCTCGCCTCGGACCCTAAGTGTCCGGCTCGGCAAAATCTCGCCTCGGACCCTAAGTGTCCGGCTCGGCAAAAATCTCGCCTCGGACCCTAAGTGTCCGGCTCAGCAAAAACCTTGCCTTGGACACTGAGTGTCCGGCTTGGAAAACCTCTTATTTATTTTGCTTCGGACTAAAACAAATAAGGAACCTTCAGGCAGATTACCTTCCTTTTTTAAAAAAAAAAAAAAATCTCTCAGCAGAGTGAGTGCAATATCAGAAGCATACAAGCATACTCAGTCGAAGCAGAATAAAAGAAACACAGCTTAAGAAACAATGATATATCATTTATTCTCAAAATTGTTTCATTACAAGGGAAAAAAAAATTATATATATTTGCTTGATCCTACTTCCTCTTCGGATTAAACGGGGCAGATTCGAAAGCATCTACTACAGCTAGACTTGCAGGTGGAGGAATTGAAGGACCAAGAGTTACAGGAGTTGATGAGCTTGGAGGATCTTCCGGGTGAGCCTTCACCATTTCAGCAAAAAGCACCTCAGCCTCCTGAGCCTTCGGACCCTCTGTATAAGGGAAGGACACCCCCATGTTCACATCAAAGGCATCGGGATCCATCAATTTGGGGCCTGAGCCTTGATTGAAGCCGAACCGGTAAGCTTTTGCACTTGACAAGCGCACCAGACTGGAGTAACGACCTTGCATCTGCCTCCCGACAACGATGTAGGTGCTAAGGGCATCATTCAAGCGCTGGACTTCAGCCTCCAGCGACTCAACTTTGGCATCAGAAGTAGCCAGACGTTTCTTGTAAACATCCCGAGCCTCATATGCAATTTGTGCATTGGCAATGGCATGGGATGCCTTATTTTCAGAATTACTGAGGTCTTTCTCCAACTTCTTAAGAGAAAGAGACTGAGCCTCAGCAGTAGCACAGAGGGCCATAGTATGATACAAGCCCTGCGTCATGAGATAATAACAATGTAAGAAAGTTTGTAAGACAATTATGACAATGGAAATGAAGGAAGGAGCAAACCTCTATGGCTCGAACAGGGGCAAATGGGAGTAACTGTTCCAACCCCATTCTGCCAATAATTTCTTCATCCTTGGGGAGCCACATTCCCCGAGTGACGGCCAGTGCTGCAGATGGGTCAGTTATCATAGAATCACCCACATGGAGGATGGACTTGTCAGCCCTCGAGAAGGATGGAGTCCAAGGTGCCCTAGCCTCGGCAAGGACGTAGGCGCTGACCTCATCCTCAGGGTTAATCTCCTCGGTTTTCTTCCCTTTGCTTTTTGGGTTGGAAACACCCTTGGGTTTCGCGGTTGAAGAGGGGTTCAGCCTTGCCCTTTTATTCAAAGGGACTTCGTCAATCTCCTTCTCCTGCTTATTTGTACACAATATAGTCAGCGGAGCATTCTCTGCAGCTTTCCTCTTCAAGGCTTCAGCCCTCTGTTTTTCTTCCTCAGTCATGGGTAAGCTGTCAAATGATGGAAGTGAGAGGTCCATGAGATCAGTGGTTACAGCTCTGAAAGCAACTGCTTTAAGACTCGCAAAAGTGAGTAAGCTCTTGACCGAGGGAGGGTCGCTCCAAACCTGTCTTTCCAAGAAGGAAAGCCTCTTCTTGGTAGCCGAAGAAGGAAATGTCGTTGGAAAAACACCAAGAAACTCGTAAATATATCGAAAGAATAAGACTCGACATGGGAAACAGCCAAACAATCTTCATGAAGAAAGGGGGGATGTTCTATACCTAACTTCTCGAACTTGCGAGGGATTGGGAGTTTGCTCGATTGGGGCACGACCCATCTCCCTTTAACAATTATCATCCTCTCTTTCCACTTCTTCTCAGAAGTAGGGAGGTCTGTACATATCCTTTGGTGCAAGGGGGAAGTGAAAAAGAAACGACAAGGTTCGGTTCCATGCTTAGAAATAGAATAAGTAATCAGCAAGTCAGCCAGAGTCAGGTTAAAACTCTCCTGCCACTAGCGAATAAGGAGTGCCGAGATTACTCGAAGGAAGTTAGGGTTTACTTGCAGGGGTGCAATCCCTAATTTGTTGAAGACTAAGTGATGGAAAGGATGAAGGGGGAACCTAAGAGCGTTGAGGTGCCCAACAGAGAGGAGCAACTAATCTTCTCCGACGCCCTCGCCGGGGTAAAAATCAGCGCCTTTGGGGTATTCTGCAATTTTTACCCCCTCGGGAATCTCGAATTCTCCCATTACGGATTCAATGGAGAACGGGATGCGACGAATAGATAAAATTGCATTTCTTTCTTCCTTAGTGAGGATATTGTCCGACCCAGAGGTGGATGTTTCAGCCTGGATCGGGGAAGCACCCGGCTGATTAGCCGAGTCATTTATAGGTTTAAGGAAGTTCGAAACCCTAGGTGGGGGAACCCTAATGAGATTAGGGGAAGACGAGGGAGTGGACTCAGAATCTACGATCTCAATACGTTCAGGAGTAGTTGAAGTACTCATAATGCAAGATCGAAGAGAAAAAGATGAAGAATTAACCTGATAAGACGACGGAATGAAGAATGCAAGAAACGTAGTGAGAGCAAAAGTAACCCTTATGGAATCTCTTAAGGTAGAATGGCAATAGGCAATCTTCGAACCGTCTTTTTGTAAAATAGACAACCGTGCAACTTCAAATCCCTTTTTAATAGGAGCCGTAATCCAATTAAAGAGGGAATTGGGGGCAAAGTGTGGAGGGAAAAATCTCCCTCCAATGAGAACTGTACACGTCATCGCAATGTAAATACCCATCACAAATGTCAGAGGCCCATCCTACTCAAAGCCCAGTCCAAGCTCGTTGACAGCCCAACGTCATAAGACACTAACCCAAGGTCGCAGATAATTAATCTCTGTAGCATTGCTCAAGCCCGAAACAAGAGATTCAGCCCGTTAACAATGTCACATGGATCAGGTTACTTATAGCCCAAATCCTTTGTAAGGAAATTGGTCCTATTAGAAGAAGGATACAGCAAAGAAAGAAACTACTACACAAGGAAAATTATACAAAGGAAGGAGCTCTATTTGTAAAGAATTTCTGTAGGGAAAGAATAGGAGGACAAGCAATGCGAGTCCTACCATAATTCAACCAATCTTTTGTGTATAAATAGAGGCCCAGACCTCCAATAAAAGGATCAAACAATTCTACGCTTCTTTAGATACTGTTCTTGTTTATTTTTATTGTTTATTGAGTGAGTTGTGTTATTTCTCCTGATCATTATTGGTTGGGCAAAATTTTGCACCTACACACACCTATGGATCACAATTAGCTCATGGTTTCTGTTATACTTCCATTGGTGGGAATAGCATGGTTCTTGTACAAATATAGTGTCAATAATTTACTTCTGGCCTAATAGCCTGAATTCTGTTGAGAAAATATGACATAAAAGTTGTTTGCGATCAAAAAAAAAAAAAAAAAAAAAAATTAATAATAATAAAAAGTACAATGATTACATCATCAGTTAACAGTTCCCCAAGATAGAATTATTGTTCTTAAAAGAAATTGTAAGTGACAAATATTTTATTAAAATTTTGGAATTATTAATAAATTTTTTTGCTAATATTGATACTAACCAGATTTCACCTACTTGTGTGCAACAGTTGCGGCTCTTGAAACGATATCAACGGAACTGCGGATGCAGATAAATCACTGGAACATTAACCGTGCATTTTGCAGTGGGGGTAATGTTACGACTGGGAATGTTCGTGATAAGAGTTATAGCAATGTTGCTTGCAATTGCACAAACAATACAGTCTGCCACGTCACAAACATGTACGGCCGTGTTTTACTGTCCTTTACTTTTCCCCTGTAATATACATACATATATGCAAGGCATGCAAATAAGGATTAAGAAAGCCATACTAATTTAAATACATGGGATATGATATCAACTTTATCTTGTATAGACTACTACCAATACTCGGGACGCATGGAAATAATGACTGCAAAAAATATAAGTCCTTATGCGTAGTAGTTAGTTGGGATAACCCTAATATTTTTATCACTTTTCAACTTTTTATATATCTCGTTCGTCCATTGGGATAAGTTGGGTCTGAGGTTGGGATCCACCACATTTAACGGTTGAGCACTATGCTTAATTTAAATCAAAAGCAGAGGAGTAAATTGATCTGTATAACAAATGATAAGTTCCAATGGTTTTGGTTAATCTGGTCTGAAACTTTAATTGCTCTGTTACATAAAAGAGATCTGTTTTCTAAACCAAGCAGTATGATAAACACCAACATAAATCGATGGAATATTGTCAGGTTTTGAGCTAGTGCCCTTCATGCTTCCATTATTAGTTTTTTCTCGGTTTGTTTAGAGTGTAGTTAGACTATATTTTGTTTTTGTCCCAGTGTCCTGATATATCACTGCTGGATACCATATGCCTGTCTCTACCATAAGTTCATATCATTGTTCCACTTTCAAGAACAAATGTACCGGTGAAACCTGACGGGCCTAACCATATTAATTTTTTTTAGGGACTATAATGATCCCTAGGTTTAACACAGTGCTTATTTATTCTATGTTCTTTTCTCTGATTTCAGTTTTCCTTGTTTTGAATTGCAGCCTGCTGAAGGGTCAAAATTTAACAGGAGAACTACCAGCCGAATTCGCAAATCTTCGTTACCTGCAAGAAATGTATGTGACACATTTAAGTTGCATTCAGAAATCCATCAGCATACTGACACATCAGCCATGTTGGTGTATTAGGTTTATTCATAAATTACTTAAAATAGATTTTCTACACTATGAAGACTATAAGCACTATTTTTATTTATTTATTTATTATTATTGTTTGGGATGTCCCTAGGAATTTTAAGTTGGTATCTATTCTTCAATGTTACCTGAGATAAGTCTATTATGTTGTCCTTAATTGCAGGCAAGCCTGTTTGGTTTCCTTAGTAGTTTGAAATTAAGGATATATGGGAACATTTTTTGGTTATTATTCTATATAATGCACAACATGTTACTCCAATTTCGATGACACACTCAAGCATGCCTACTTTTATAAACTTAAGCCCTATTGTAAATTTATTTGATGATGATTTGAGGTCAAATACCACACTATGCAGTGGAGGAATCTCTTTCTGTAAATTTTATAATAGAATGCAATCTTAACTAAACTTTGTGCCATATTTTCTACAACTATAATCCCTCCAACATATGGTATAACCCATATGGAAGATTGGCGCTTTATTATTATCAGGTGACCGTCTGAAACTGATAGAAACTAAGTGAGGCTTCTTTTATCAACACAGTGATCTCACTCGCAACTACATAAATGGATCGATTCCTACATCTTTTTCTCGACTCCCTCTGACCTTTCTGTAAGTTTCTTTTTATATTGTTTCAAATCTTTAAGGGCCATTTTCTTGTTAGATATTTATTTATGGAGTAGTTGGACTGGTTGGCTAAACTTTAATAATTGGTACGCTACAGGTCCCTTGGGGTAAACCGAATCAGTGGTTCGATTCCTAAAGAAATTGGTGACATTTCTACCCTTGTGGAGCTGTAAGTGATGGAGTACAGTTCGATGTGTATTGGAGTAATAGATAAAGCTTTATCTTGAATTAATTCTAACTTTGTTATCTAGGGTCTTGGAAAATAATCAGCTTGGAGGACCTCTTCCTCCTAACCTTGGAAATTTGAGCCGCTTGAGTAGACTGTAAGACACTAGTCAGTGGAGAAATAAACATTCTTGCCAATATTGGACTGATTTTTCTCATGCGGTTTCAAATGCATAACAAACGCTTTTCTGCAGCCGTCTTTCTGCTAACAATTTTAAGGGAACACTACCAGTTGAATTCAGCAAGCTAAAGAACTTAACGGAATTGTAAGTGTTAATTGTTTTGGCATTTATGATCTTGAGTTTCAGAAATTTTATTACTTTTTACTCCTGCAGTACTATAGATGGGAGTAAACTATCTGGGAAGATACCTGATTGGATTGGGAACTGGACGAACATTAGCAGACTGTGAGTATGATACTTCTTTTCATTGATCAGCGAATCCTTTCCCCCACCTGGAGAAAATAACGAAATTTCTTCTTAAATTTTATTGCTAATTGTTCATATCTCAAATAAATAAATGTTCAACTCAATCTGTTGCAGGGATATGCAAGGAACATTCGGGGAGGGACCCTTACCATCTACCATATCCAACCTGAAAAACTTAAAAGAATTGTGAGCAAAAATCTAACCATCTAAAAGCTATTGAATGCTTTACAGTTAAAACGAAGTAATTTGATCCGTTGCATTTGATTTTCAGGAGAATATCTGATCTGAATGGATCAAACTCGAGTTTCCCTGATCTACAGGATATGAAAGGCTTGAAGTACCTGTGAGTTGAATATGAATATATTTCATGGAGAACATCCAAGATGTTACCAAATTTTATGGTTCTGTCAGCTGACCATGTTTTTATGTTTTTGTGGCACAGGATACTGAGAAATTGCTCAATAAATGGTTCAATTCCTGATTACATTGATAATCATTTTATTGAACTCAGAATTTTGTGAGTTTATTCTAATGTACTCTCACAGAGAAGCATGGTTTCTCTATTTTTCTGATCTGCTGCTGATTTGATATCTTTACATATAGAATTTCCAAATTTAAGATCATGCTCTGAAACCGGGTGATCCAAAGTGACTTCACTCAAGGACGGAGCCAATAATTTGTTTTGGGGGCACAGTGAACTTTATATTGTGTTTTTTTTTCCCAACTAACAGTGCAACAAAGACAACACACTGAAAAATAGAACGATAGTAACGGTGCAAAAATTAAAATTAATTGCTTTTTTTTTTTCGGTGGTATTATTTATTCTGAAACAAAAACGTGTTTGGTAACTAATTTGTTGCACAGTGTTTCATAAAAAATTTGTTTAAATTATTTTAAAGAAGAGTATTTACATCATATTGGTTTTTTTTTTTTTTCTTAAAAAATTCTATTTTCATTTGTTTAGCTACAATAGCAAAACAAGTGAAAATGACTGTTTTGCTTTCAGAGGTGAGTCTTTTAACCAAACAAACCCTAAGTGTATAAAATTTCAGTAATAAACTTAAAGAATAAGAGAATAAAAAAATAAAAGTAAAAAGAGAAAAGAATGTTAGTGTACATACATCATATATGAGTGCAAGAGGAAGAAAATTTTAAAGAAAAAAGAACAACAAAGAAGAAGAAAAAGAAAATAAAGGGAAAATAAAATATGAGAGAACTTTGAAGGAAAAAAAATTAGGATTGACTGAAGAAAGGGAATGTAAATATTTTTTAAAGAGAGTGAAAAAAATTTGAAAGAAAAAGAAGAAGAGTACGAACTTTGAAGGAAAAGAGAGAAAGTATTAGAGAAATTTTTATAAAAGGATAATTTTAGGGGGGGCATTAACTAGTATTTTAAAAATTATACACATACGTAAAAAATATTAGTGAGGCCACCATGTACCCATGGTGATTCTGTCCTTGACTTCACTTGAATTATTCCTTTCTACTGTGATCAATGTGATTATGGATAAGTAATGACAATGGAAAAGAATCCATAAAATGAGTTGATACTTTGTATCTGTCACTGCGCTTTCCTTTCTATCCGTTTAATTGTTCTGATTTTCATCTTTGGACAATTTGATGAATTGGAGTCATGGCTTAGGAACTAGCTGCACACCTGATCTTCCAATTTTTTCAAAATGAGTCTCTCAACCTCTAAACAATCTCCAAAGACATCAACCAATAGAAATCTACAAATTGAAAAAAAAAAAAAAAAAAAAAAAAAAGTCATTGTAAGTGAAGTTTTTTTACATTGCATTGATTTTTTTATTGTCATGAACCTACATCATTAGTTTGTCATTAATGATACATTGGGCTATCAATTGCTATCTTGCTGATTAATTTTCTTTTCACGAGGTTTGAATATTTACTGAATAAAATACCAAAGAAGGTTTCATTTGAGTAGAAGGAAATCCTCATTTTAATGTTAATGTCCAAACTGATGGTAATTTAGTAGTATATTCTCTTTGTGGATTCTCATTATTTCATCTAAAAAAGCAGTGTCCTCAGTATAGAATTTATCAGTTGAAGAAGATATTGAGTGCATTTTGGACATCCATGAAATTGAATTTATTCTCTTGTGGTCTATGTACAATTCACTTGATTTCATAATAGCATTTGATATGATTCCCTTTATAGTGCGATAGCAATCACACAGTTTTTTCTTTTACAAAAGAAGTCAGTCTATTTTGATTACTTACCATCTTTTGATGACTATAGATTTTGAGAGTAAAGTGGAGTTACTCTATCATATTTGGATTAGATCACATTTTAGTCATCTTGTATGTTTTTATCGACAATTTTATCTCATTTTGGTCATATGAACTTTTCACTTGCAGAGATTTGAGCTTCAATAGGTTGACAGGTGGAATTCCAAAGACATTTGAAAATTTGGATTTTGATTACATGTAAGTAATTATTTTTTAGAATAAGTCCCATGTACAATCTTCTATGCTCTATTTCCTAAGAGGGATAAAAAAATGAATGGAAGAGAGAAGAGGAGGAATCTCCCTCACTTTTTGTTTCGTTGAATGAAAAGAATAGTAGAAAAGATGAATGAGGTGACACATTTTTTTATTTGGTTGGAAGGAAGATAATGAGAGATTTTATATATTTTTTTTACCAGTATATCCTCAATATATAAATTAATATAAAGTAAATATGCATTCCAAATTACCAACAAGGTCAAGGGTTCAAGTCGCAGTGGATGCATGTATGTGTGAGAACCAACTAGGAAAAAAAAAAAAATTATGCATTCCAAATTATGGTAAATCTGTTTACTATTATGGTTTTAAGCAAAATTTGAGTATTTAGTAAGCTGACTTTTGTGTTTGTACCTTAATGATTTTTGTTTTAATCATGATAATGTATATGGATGTAGGTTTTTGAACAACAACTCGCTAAATGGGACAATACCGTACTGGTTACTCCTTAGAAGAAATGACTGGATGTTAGTATATCACCAACCTTTATTTGACTTTTAAATGTCATGTATACGCATGTCATGTTTTTCTGATTTGTGAAATTTTATGAGGTTGAGCTTGATCTCTAAGCTAGTGAGATCTAGATCTGGGTTCATGTATCGGGTATGAGAATTATCCACGCATATGATTGACGATGTGTAAAATTATGGATATTTGAGTCGTTGTTCTTCTACACTTCGTGCAAAAATAAAGAAAAACCTACAAGGACTAAACTAAAAATTGTATAGAATAAGCATGGTTGAACCACACATTCAATATTAGAACTCTGAACTCAATTTCAAAACAAAAAATTTAAGGGAAGAAGAAAGAACTTTAAAAACAATTTTGAATTTTTTGAATAATAAAATTAAATAAAAATAAGATTAAACAATTTTTGATCAAATAATGGAAAAAGTCGGATGAGAATCCACCACGGATTCATATAAATAAAATTTCTATTTTTCTTATATAATTTTTCCTCCTAGATGAAGGAAAATTACAGTTGGTTATATATGAGAGAATATGTTTTTAATCTATCTTTGGTAAATAGTAGTAGTGACTACATGTTAGTATATCACCAACCTTTATTTGACTTTTAAAATTTCATGCATACGTATGTCATGTTTTTCTGATTTGTCAAATTTGATGAGGTTGAGCTTGATCTCTAAGCTAATGAGATCTAAATTTGGGTTGATGTATTGGGTACGAGAATGTATCCACACATAGGATGTGTCAATTTTTAAAATAGGAAGACACAGACATTTCTAATATTCATATTAGTTAATATTTATATTTATTTTTAGAATAAAATGACGTCTCTGTGTAACATAATGTCTAATATAGACATTTCACTAATTTTGAAGCAGTAATATAATAAAATTTAATTATTGAATGTGTTTTTAGGGGCATGTTCAACCTCCCATATGCATGTTATGTGTCTGACATGACACGGTCTTTAAAACAAGAAGAATTATATTCAATTGAAAATTTCACGCATGTCATGCCAATTCTGTTGCAGCGATGTGTCTTACAACAACTTCACAGATGGATCAGATACATCTGAAGTCAGTTGCAGCGGGTCATCAAACCTGTAAGCTTCTTTTCATTATTACTTCTATAATTCATTCTTCCATATAATTTACAAATCACCCCTTTCCATATCGGTGAACAGGAATTTAGCTTCCAGCATGTCCTCATCTGTGGATAGCAACTCGTAAGTTCTTTGCCTAGAAAGAGTGGCATTTAGTTTGCATATCTAAGTAATATGGGTTAGCTAACCTAAAAGTCTTACAGAAGTATTCCTTGGTGCTTGAAGAAGGACCTTCCTTGCGACAATGCCCAGCGTAAGTTTAAGACCTGCCAGGTCTGTTACTATGATCTGGTGATAATAATTAACTCTTATCTACCTATAGATATATTATATTATACTTGCCAAAAAGAAAAAACAAAAATATCTTATGTTACAATTTTGATTGCATATATAGACTATTCCCTGTTTATCAATTGTGGAGGAAGCAATCCAACAAAATTTGAGGGGAAGGAATATGAAAGAGACTCAGAGAGAGACGGTCAATCACAATTTTATGTTTCTGAAGGAAAATGGGCTTTTAGCAGCACAGGGGTTTTCATGGACAAGATTAGCAAAGCCAGTTACATAGCAAATAATTTATTCTCTTACAAGCTTGATGAGATATACGAAACAGCACGCCTTGCCCCTACTTCACTTAAGTACTATGGCCTTTGCTTGCGTAAAGGCAGTTATAAAGTGCGTCTCCACTTTGCTGAAATAATGTTTTCGGATGACCAGAAGGTCCAGAATTATACTAGCCTCGGGAAACGGATTTTTGATGTATCAATCCAAGTGAGTAAGATTCATTTTTATTAATGCAAGTTGAAAAGATTCTTGTGTTGATCCGCACAAACAGTGTTACTCTTGTGCAGTTCGTGACTTTGTTAATTTTTTTACCATTTCATATAAACATCAATTGCTTTCTGGACACTCTCTTTTCTTTGCTACTTTTTTTTTTTTGGTCTCTAAAATAGAAGTTTTTTAACTTTTGTCTAGCTTGTGTTAATTTCACGTCTTCTGCAGGGGAATCTAATTTGGAAGGATTTTAACATTATGAAGGAAGCTAAAGGTCCTGGCAAGAACTTCACAATGGTACACGATGTTAATGTTAGTGGCAGCACTCTGGAGATCCACTTATACTGGTCTGGGAAAGGGACTAATGCAATTCCTGACAAAGGTGTATATGGACCTCTTATCTCTGCTATTTCAGTGACACCAAGTAAGTGTATCTTTCATTCTGGGTGTGCCTCTTTTTTTCTACTAGCTTGTTACGAGAGTATCTTTCTTTTTCTTGTAGACTTTGATGTTGATACGGGACTTTCTGTTGGATCTATTGTTGGTATCGTGGCTGCTTCATGCGTAGTCTTTGGGTTGATTTTGTTATTACTTCGAATGAAAGGTTACTTAGGAGGGAGAGACCTTGAAAATGAAGGTGAGATCTAAAAGCACGCAAAATTCTTGGTATGATGTTTTTTCTCACTATGTGATTGCAAATGCAAGTTGAGTTACTACTTGGAAAAGGTGCTTGATGTTTGAACTTTATCTGGATAAGGCATTGGTAAAATGTCCTGGTAAATGCTTTTTCTTGTACCATATATAAGTTAGAACCCGTATTGAAGATTAGCTTTATAGAATTTCTGAAACACCAGTCCTCCCTTTGGGTGTTTTGACTTTTGACAGAAATTTAATATGGATTGGAATGCTTAAACTACTCAAGAATCTCTGTAATGATCCTGCAAATCTTTTATGAGAGTTATAACAAACTTTAGGGTATGGCTTGTAAATTGATTAAAACTGTGAATGAAGATAATTTGTTGTTTAAGGATAAGATAGATGCTGCGATGAGTAAGAACCTTATTCAGGGTAAACATTAGCCCAATTTGTATTTGCACGTGTAACTATGTAAATTGTTATGAACAACATAATCGTATGTATGTGAATTTTTCTTCATGGAAAGGTATCCGCTGATGATCATATAGGATAAGAATTTGAGGCTCTAAGATATCATGGTTTATGAAGTACTGCAACCTTATGGTTGGACGGAAAGTTGGAAAGAAAGATGAACTGTTATTTTTTAACTGTATTTTGCATTACAATCATTTTCTAATTTATCATTCTTATCATTCTTGGGGCAATTTCTATTTTGGGTCTTTGTTACAGAACTTCGAGGGCTAGATCTGCAAACAGGTTATTTCACTTTAAGGCAGATCAAAGCTGCTACCAGTAACTTTGACCCTGCAAACAAAATTGGTGAAGGAGGATTTGGACCAGTTTACAAGGTTATTGCCAACACAACTTATCAAATTTCCATATATAACTGTCTCACAACATTGAGGTGATGTGTCAATTTAATTCCATGCCTAGAGGCGGAAATGGGAAGTCCAAGAATTTTTTTCATATGACCGCCATATATCTTGTTTGTTATATTTAATCATTTGAAATGCTTTTTACTTGATTTTAGGGTTTATTGTCAGATGGTTTAGTAATCGCTGTTAAGCAGCTTTCCTCCAAATCTAAGCAAGGAAATCGTGAGTTTGTCAATGAGATAGGCATGATATCTGCCCTACAACACCCAAACCTTGTGAGGCTTTATGGCTGTTGCATTGAAGGAAACCAGTTGTTGCTAATATATGAATACTTGGAGAACAATAGTCTTGCCCGTGCACTTTTTGGTAAGTACTTCCCTATCATCTTTGACACCATTTTATATACGTCATAAGAGTGACTATTATGATCTCTCTCTCTCTCTCTTTCTCATTTCTAGGTCGCGAGGAACACCGGCTAAACCTTGATTGGCTAACAAGAAAGAAGATATGCTTAGGAATAGCAAGGGGCTTAGCTTATCTTCATGAGGAATCAAGGTTGAAAATCGTTCATAGAGACATTAAGGGTACCAATGTTCTGCTTGATAAGGATTTAAATGCTAAGATATCTGATTTTGGTTTGGCCAAGCTTGATGAAGAAGAGAACACCCATATCAGCACAAGAATTGCTGGAACAATGTGAGTTTTTCTCTCACACTTTTCCTGTAACGACTCGAAAAGATACTAAAATAATAATAAAATCTATAAAAATTTCGGCATGACTTCCGCAGAAAACGTCCCTCAACAACCTGTAAAAATACAAAAATAAATGCAATGGCCTCACTGGGCCTTAAATCTAACTTATCCTGTCCCAACGCACAATTCAAATATTATACTACATTCCCAAAATAGTTACATACATACAAAAGTCCCGTTCCTCTATCTCATCCAAACATGGAACCCACTTAAGTTACATCAAATTACAGTCCACAAAATGTAGCTAGAATTAAAAGTTCATAACTTACAACATTATACTAATTAAACTAAAGTGTCACAAGGTAGTTAATATTACATTTACAAAATATTAGAGTCTAATACAAAAAATAACAAAATAGAATGGGTTTTCAAGCTCATCTAAACCTGTGGTGGACCGTCTTCCGTCACCTCCTTTTCATATCCTGAAAAAAATGTTAAAAATAAGGGGGTGAGCATAAGCTCAGTAGGAAGTGTCTAAGACACACTTCTTATGTCCCCGTGAATCCATACAATGAATAGATAAAAAGTGAACGGGATCATGCCATCGGAAAACACCCATTCTCAACCACAATAACAAGTATATAACAAATATCAACCAATCACAAATTTACCACGATGTCATGAAGTGCAATGTTATGCAAATGTCACTCCCCATTTCCGAAACAATTCCGTTTCAACAACCAAACCGTTAGTGTAGTCCGACCCAAGGCACCTCCATGGCGTCACGAAAGGAAGGTTGGTTAACTATCCACGACCACAAGACACCTCCAAGGCGTCGCACCCGGCCTAGTTAACTCAACTACATTCCCTTCTAGACTACACCAACATCACGGACCACTAGGCGCCTCCTAGGCGTCAGGTTTTCACAACACTTTTAGAAAATATTTTCCCCAAAACAATTTTTATTTGTTCTAACAATTATTTTTCCCACTTTCTCTTTCCTAATGGATACATGAATACTTCATGCTTCAAATCATTAATTTAACTATATATTTTCACACTTTTCCATTTACATTATCATCACAATTTAATGAAAATTTCTAAACATTCCTTTCCTTTATTTATTTATAACCATAGCATCCATTTTTCTTCAAGACAATAAATAAATAAATAATCATGAAAACATACAACACATTAAACACTAAGCATGCTCATTTATATGAACTTAAATAACACAAGGAGCACAATTATCATTATAATTACAAAGAACTACAACAATAACAAGCTAAGTAATTAAAATTTAGCATGCTTAGAATCAAATTTAAGGGGAAAAATTCACCAAAGGCCAAGAAATTGTAGATTAGAACACCTCTACCTCAAATTGATGAAAACCCCCAATTTGAGCCCAAGAACCCTAGAATTTTGAACTCCTTGGAGTGCACCAAATGATGATTGGTTCCTATCAAATTAATGGCCTCGACGAGCTCAACAATTTTGCTTCACAATGTTCTACCAAAATCCAAAAGATTAAAGCTAGATCAAGCTTTTGAGATTGCAAAAAGAAAAAAAAACAAAGTGAGATGTCGAGAGGGGAAAGGATGCAGCAGAGAAAGAGAAAGGAAACAGTTGACTCATGAAATGGCCTTATGGCCCTTTTTGATGTTTTTAATAGTGGTGGGGCCCACTTATTTTATTTCTTTTTCTTTTAACCTTAATTATATATATATACATATACATATATATAAGCATAACTATTACATTCTCCCTAACTTTAAAAGATTTCGTCCCCGAAATCAAGTCATACATGAGGAAGAAAACAACTCTGGATACTTGGAGCGAACCTCCTGTTCAAGCTCCCAAGTAGCCTCCTCAACTCCATGATGCCTCCAAAGAACCTTTACCAATTGTGATACCCCCGAATTTCCGAATGCGGGTTGGCCAGGCCCACGCCCGAATACCCGAGGATGTCAAAACAAATTGATAATAAACGAACATAGAGTACAAAAGAATAAAAAAGAATAAATAAAATACTGACAAGAAATTAAAATGATAATCTAATAATAAATCTCATAATATATTTTCATTAATTAATAAACTCTTCTGATACAACTGATCCACCAAAATACAATTCGGGAATCCATATTGTGTGGACCCCTAGAAAATCCAAACTAAACAAATGACAGTAATCTAAAACAGGAAACTGAATCATAAAGGAACTCCTATGTAGCATCGGAAGAATGAAGTAGACTGATCCCCGCTCAGCACAAACAACCTCTACTCGTGACGAACACCTGAAAAATAATGATGGGTCAGGCCCACAAACAAGTTCTACTCTACTACAGTCCAAGCAGAGATCCGATACACGTATACATCCTAGTCAATCCAACAGTAACTAGTAGTCCGTATATATATATATACACACTAAAGGAACCTCACTAGACTATAGGGTTATCTCAACCTGAATAGTAGGCAATATGCAAAACGCACATATAGTGGGCATGAGTACCTAAACCTACCAGGGTACACAACTACACTATATCTAGCTACACATCCCTGGCGATATACGCGCCCTAACCATTGATCCTGAGACTCAAGCTCATATCATGGCACAATACTTATATATATAAAATCTAGTAACCATCCTATCCAGTATAAATTAATCCTCCATAAGTCATTCAACTTGTTCAGCTAACCTGACTTGAATATAAGTAGGACTTAACATTTTAGTTAATCCATTCCCTTATATAATAAATTAATTCTCCATAAGTCATTCAACTTGTTCAGCTGACCTGACTTAAATATAAGTAGGACTTAACATTTTAGTTAATCCATTCCCTTATATAAAATAGGTAGGACTTAACTGATAAGTTAATCCATCCCTAGAATGCCACCGTCCCATACCGGTACATTAAACCACACAATCCAACAATTGGTGTAACAATTAAGGAAATACATCAAATATTCCATAAATAACTATGATAAATATGATATCAAGTTATCACATAATAGGAATGACTTATTATTTCTTTAAACTTCCTATATCATATGTCCTACGCAAACTGAATCTTATACATGATGATATTTTATTATACTGTTAAATAAGGATTCTCTATATCCAATTCATCCTACACATTTAATCTTAATTGCTAAAATATTTTAAAAGATTAAATCCATTCGTTTGTTTAAAACATTCAAATAGCAAGCATCATTATGATTGAGTTTATTTAAATTTATTAAAACCCAACCTAGTCCCTATTTAATGTTCAGGAATCCTAGGCATGTTTCTACGTTTCATTATTCCACAGATATGAAAAATACATAATTTAAACATGTAAAAATTCGCATAAGAAATCAAATCAAAATCATGCATTTTATCAATTCGTAACACAAGAACAAATATGAACCAATTTCATAAAACCTATATTCTAACCCAATTAAACATGCATAATTATTTAATTTTATGTGTTTAATAAATCCTGGAATTTCCTAGGCATGTACAGAAACACGAATCAAAGGGAAAGAGATAGAAGAAGAACTTGCCTTAAACTTTCGGATCGAAAGTTAAACTTCTTCTTCCTTGATCTTCTCTCTACATGATTTTTTTTCTCATTCCTTCCTTTTCCTCCTTCCCTCTCTAACACTATCAGTATATATCACGTGAATATTTCTAACCCCCTTTTACAACCTATAGATATATATTTATAGGCTAAATAAAATAACCCTAACCCTTTTCCCAATCCAAGTCAACTAAAAATAAATAAATAAATAAAAATATTAAAAAGGTAAGCAAAATATGTTACGTATATAATTTATGTATATGTTTATTAAATAAATAAATTATACACATTCTATTATTTATTAATGGATTATCCAATAAAATTTAAGTTACCATAATATTATAAAGTAACTTAAAACATAACACGTATCAAATCTATGTATATTTTTATTATTTAAATAAACATATACATCAGATTAAATATTACTACCCAAGTTACCATAAAAGTAATTAATAAATTACTTTCTCTTTTATATATATATATATATATATATATATATATATATATATTAAAAAGGTAAGTAAAATATATTACGTATATAATTTATGTATATGTTTATTAAATAAATAAATTATACACATTCCATTATTTATTAATGGATTATCCAATAATACTTAAGTTACCATAATATTATAAAGTAACTTAAAACATAACACGTATCAAATATATGTATATTTTTATTATTTAAATATAAAACATATACATCAGATTAAATATTACTACCCAAGTTACCATAGAAATAATTAATAAATTACTTTCCTTTTTATATATGTATATAATATATATACATACATTATCCATGGGTAATAATCCATACATATCCAACCTCCTATCCAAGTAGTCCATGGGACCCAATTGGTTGGCCCATTACTACTAACCATAACCATAAAAGAAAAATAAAATAAAATAATAAAAAAAAGAAAACATTTAATTTACAATTAATCAAAACACCATTTAAGCACATAATCTAATTAAACAATTAACACATAAACAAATACAAATAATACATAGACACATAATCAAATAATCAAGTAATACCTAATTCAATTAAACACATAAGCAATTAGTCAAATAATTAATTAAATAATTATAAAATACAATTAAAACAAATAAATAAATACCGAGACTATCCTTTTAAAATTAGGGGTATTACATTCTTCCCCCCTAATAAAAGGAATTCCGTCCTTGGAATTCACCCTTACTTTCTTCCATTATGCTTGGAAACTGTGAGCGAAAAACATCCTCATATTCCCAAATAGACGCAACCTCACTATAAGGGCTCCACTTAACTCTAATATACTAAGTGGTATACAGAGTTCCTATATTTTAAGAAACACAATAATCATACAATGCGTAGGTTGTATCAAATAACAACGTAATCCTCCTATGTCGACAAGGGAATGATCTACATACCTCCAAGTGCCATAGAATATACGCACAAACTCA